AAGCCCAGGTTTGAAAGCCATAATATAGAGACTGACAGTAGACAAAGGAGACCAGTGATGGGTCCTTCCTACCAGTTCAGACCAGTTCACTGGCACCAGCTGCGATCCAGGCCTGCCACACCCCCGAACCAGTTCCCTGTCACCGGCATGTTTCTGTCCATGTGCAGACCAGTTTTCAGTCAACTGCACATGTGCAGCAACTTGTGGCAGGCGCGCACATGAGCAAAGAGAGCGGCGTGCATGCAAAACGCCCTCTCAGCGAACCGATAGCAAACAGGTTAGAAACTGACCACTGAAGGAGACACGATACTGAGGACACATGCATGAACTTGCAATGACACAGAGATGCAGAAGAGTTACTGGCAGACAGTCCTGAAGACAAGATCAGAGCAAAAAGAGTCAGAAATGACTGAGCAATGAAAAGCCATCTAAGCCAATTTTTAACTGGGACAATATTTGAACGAAAGAATGTCTAGTTTAACATTCATGTGCTAATTAATGAAAAGGTACTCAAACAAATGGGAAATTAGAGGGAGGAAAAAAGGGAAAAAAAACTGATTTCATTAATGTATCCACAAAATGCTCAGAAGAAGAAGAAAAAGTTATTTTCAAGGGTACCACCCCACCCCACCCTTAAATTGTAGGCATTGCATGTTACTAAAGCCAAATTGCTTTCAGAAACCACATTTACTTAATTCCTTTCCTTTGGAAGAAGAAGACCCATTAATAGGCTGCTTTATAGCTTGAGGTTTCTTCCCAAGCAATCTGAATGCACTCGAGATGAGATACGCTGAAGTGTGCGCCATTATTACAACAGAATACAAAGTAGAATTCTTTCCGGCTTGACATTCCCGCTGCCCTTTAAGAAAATCCGAGGCTATAAAGTTATCAGTTGCATGTCTGTTATGCTTGGCCTCATCAGCAGCATCAAGTTGCTTTTTCTCTTGTAAATGCCTGATGTTGGTCTTGGCGTTGTTTGTCTATTTTTGCCTAATTTTGTTCCGACCTAGGCTTCCTGAGAAAGCATACATCGCAAACTTAGTCCCTAAAAAACCTCTTTTTATTTCAATGGCTGTGAATTATGTTCATTCTCAGCCCATAATGATTCCCAAACAGTCTATGAAGAGTCCGACAGATGTCTGCTCGAGTTGCCGCAGTCTTTCAGGGGAATGTTGATAAGCACCCCCACCCTTATCTCCCTTGAAACTTTGCCGGAGACCTAATTGCCAATTAGTTTTGCAAGGCCAAATGGAGCACAGAATCAAACAGAACTTCACAGAGCTTGAACCAACTAGATCCGTGATGGTGAACCTATGACACGAGGGCCAGAGGTCGCATGCAGAGACCTCTCTGTGGGCACACGTGCCACTGTCAGCTGCTCTTCTGGTTTCCAGCATGCACATGTAGGTTGGCCAGCTGGTGTTCGCAGGCACTGGAGCACCAGAAAACATCCTGAAAATGGCCCCCAAAATGCCCTGAAAATGGCCCGAAAAACAATAAAAAACCAGGCTGTTTTTCGTGCTGTTTTCAGGCTGTCTTGGGGGCATTTTAGGGCTGTTTTTCAGGCCAAAAACAGTCTGAAAGTGGCCCAAATAACAGCCTGAAAATGGCCTGAAAAAAAGGTGCAAAAAACAGGCATGTGCATGCGCCAGCCAGATGGTCTTCAGGTTTCTGGTGCTCTGGCACGGGAGCATGAACACACATGCATGGTGTGACACTCAGTGCCGAAAAGGTTTGGGCACTCGGTGCCAAAAAGGTTCACTAGCACTGAACTAGATGAACTAATTGCTTCCTGCAAAGGTGCACATCTTCTTTTATGTCTTATGGGAGGAGCCAATCATCTCCAAGTCTTACTCCTGAGTCGCCCTTCTTGTCTTAACTGTTCTTGCCTTCTGGGAGCTCTGCGCATGCACACACTGGGAACAGGCTCACACCGTTCTTCTGCCTCACTGATGTCAAACTCCGGAGATTCCAGAGGTAGCATGTAACTACCAGATGGTCCTGCCCCCCTCTCTGCCTCCGACACAGAGCCCTCATCTGAGCCTTCCCCAGACTCCAAGACTGGCCCATGTTCCTCCTCAACCTTCTCACTGTCTGACTCTGCTGCCAGCTCCACAGGCTGCCAGCGGACCACAACAAATTTAGCCTGATGCACTTGATTTTTTCCCCCCCATTTGTGCTTTTAATCTTGAATTAATCAAATATTTTGGAGGCCACAAAGCGAAAGCTGTAGCGGCAGTCCATGAATAAACCTCTTATGATGAAGTATCTCAGACTCACAGAGGCAGCTGTTATTCCTCATAGCTGCTCCAATGACCTGCCAGAAGTCCCTTTTCAGCTGTGTCTCACAGCATCTGCTGACCTGCTGCTGCTATAACCTCTCGGTGTCTTTATTTCTCCTTGCAGGAGAGGAGAACAAAATATTAGCTGCAACATACCTTTCTCTGGACATCCGTCCTTTTTACTGATGCAATAAATAAGGCATATATATGCTGATAAGGTTTAGGGCTGTGCTGAACGATAAAGGAATGTGTAAAGCACCACAGTCGGAGTAAGCTTATGGGGTTTTCTTTGTAGAATAAGAATCTTTTAGCTGTTGGACAACGACCAGCCATCTGGTGGAAATACAGAGCATGAATTCTGATCATGATCATTAGGCAGGCTAATGATGTTGGAAGTGATGGGGTTTATTATTTTGTTGTCAATTGGAGTCTCTCCATTCTGGGCACCTCTCATTTCTTTCTGGACTCTGAATTAAAAAAAAGAAAAAGAACCAGAGTTGGATTTGAAAGAATTTATAAAACTTTGCCTTACTTGAACTCATAGGATACTTCTTGAAGGGCAACTGAATCAATCTTAATAAAGGTCAGTTAAAATGCTTTTGTAGTTTTAATGTGTCTCAGAGGAGAGTGATTCAGATGCATCTGGAGAACAGATTTAAAATGCATTGGCCCTTAATCAGTCATACCTTTCAGATTTCTGTTGACCGATATTCCTATTCTGCTACTTTTCTTTTCTTCCCTCCAAAGTTGTCCGTAAAGCTTATCGGCGGCCCACTAATTCTGTAATTGAAAGGTTCTTCTTGACTTATGACAAACAGGGAGTTTCTTTATAAAATGGGCTATCGTCATGCCTACACTGTGAGTTGAATTGCACTGAATGTGTAAAATAGATATCTTCAATTGGGACAAATCAAAGAACATGAAATAGCAATAGCACTTATATACCGCTTCACAGTGCTTTCCAGTCCCCTCTAAGTGGTTTACAGAGTCAGCATATTGCCCCCAATAGTCTGGGTTTTCAGACCCAAACTATTTTACCTACCTCGGAAGGATGGAAGGTTGAGTCAACTTTGAACCGGTCAGGATCGAGCTGCCAAACTGCTGGCAGCCTGCAATCAGCAGAATTAGCTGCAGTACCTTTCTAACCATTGTCCCACACAGCTCTTATGTTAGTTGTATACATTCAATTGGACCAGTTATAGCTCTAACAGTGCCCAACAGCTGGCAGTATGTAACTGGCCTTGACAGATCCTTAAAAAAACTAAAGTGTGATTAATTAAAAAATGGGGCACCATTAATTAACCCAAGGGCTATGAATATCTAGGTGACGGCAATTGCAAAAGCCCTCTGAATTGTTCCTAAGGAAATTGGGCCTTGGTGGACTTAAGGGGAAACTTTACTTAGAAATGAATCTAAGAGAGAAATCCTCCAATACTTGCAGAGCTGTTACAGGGAAATTGGTATCTCGTATGTGAGTAGGGCAAGAACCAGTGGGTGAAAGCATTACATAGAGCAGTGGTTCCCAAACTTGGCAACTTTAAGACTTGTGGACTTCAACTCCCAGAATTCTCCAGCCAGCTCTGCCAGAGACTCTCCACAAGTCTTAAAGTTGCCAAGTTTGGGAACCACTGACATAGAGGAAGATCAAACTTAAAATAAGGAATTAAGGAAGTGCTAGTGACAGCTATTAGCAATGGAAAAATCTGAGTCATGAATGCTCCATTACTGGAGGTTTTCAGGCAAAGGTTGGACAAGCATTTGTCTGAGATGATATGAAGATTCCTGTCTGGGTAGGAGGTTGGACTAGAACTTCAAGAGCTCCTCCAACCTTTTTGATTCCAGGATTCCCCTCTGAATCTCCTTCCTGATCTGCAAAATTCAACACAATAAATCTCAGGCATTTTTTAAAAATCTAGCTCTAACTATGTAGTATATCCCCTTAATTTATTTGTGTAAGCTACATCTCTAGAGGCCAGAAATAATAACAACTCTGCTATTGAACAGAAACAATCCTACTTAACCCACTAACCCAAATGCAGCCAAGCTATCTGTCATCAAGGACATTCTCCCAAAAGCATAAAAGTCCTATTATTTGTAAACAAAGTGGATTAATTTCACTCTAGTAGCATTTTCTTCATTGGTGGATTTGAAAGATTTATATTCTGTTTTTCCCCTTAAGATCTCACGGTAATTCTAAGGGGATCTCCATATTATCCACCCAACAGCAGTCAGTAAGGTGGATTGGACTAAGAGAGAATGACTGGCATGAAACTGACCCTTTAGGAAACTTCAGGCTGAGTTTGGGCTTCAACCTGGTTCAATCAAGATCACATGAAGTGTTAATGCCACTTTATAATGCTTTGGTGAGGCCACACTTGGAATACTGCATCTAGTTTTGGTTGCCACGATGTAAAAAAGATGTTGAAACCCTAGAAAGAGTGCAGAGAAGAACAACAAAGATGATTAGGGGACTGGAGGCTAAAACATATAAAGAACAGTTGGTGGAACTGGGTATGCCTAGTTTAATGAAAAGAAGGACTAGGGGAGACATGATAGCAGTCTTCCAATATCTCAGGGGCTGCCATAAAGAAGAGGGAGTCAAGCTATTCTCCAGAGCACCTGAGGGTAGGATAAGAAGCAATGAGTGGAAACTAATCAAGGAGACAAGCAACTAAGGAGAAATTTCCTNGTTCTGTGATCACCATATTTCCCACTTACCTATATCTATTTTGAGTCCCATAATTACAAGTCCTTGAACAGCCAGACCAGGCAGTCCAGGGATAATGGTCACAGTAGCACCCTGCGCTATTCTCAATTGCAGCCAGCAGCAAGATGAGGAACAGCCAATTATATGCTTTCTTCATGACTACCAGCCTGAAGAAGTCAATGAAACCTATAAGTGCAGACAAACAAAGTGCAGTTAGAACAGTTGTGATATCTGTTTTAATACTGTGGCAGCTCAAAAACTAATGTACTGCAACATCCATTCCAAGGAGCAAGTCTAAAGCTGCGTCCAGCTGTGATAACTGTGGAATGAAATCTTAGTAAAACTGCTGACTCATTGAGCACAGGCATCAGGACAACCCAAAGCACTGAAAGCATTTTTAGCCGCAAAGGAGTTATCAAAGCACTCTAATTTCTGAAAGGAAACCATCAAAGGGGGACTTTAGTATTCCAGCTTCTCGGTTTAAATTCAAGTCAACCTGTACCCTGTTTCAGAGATATTTCCTTACATAAACAGAGAACCAGAATGACCACAGAGGGGCAAAAATAATTTCCTGCTAGCTTTCCCATTGAGTTTCCTTGTGGGAAGCTAAAAGGAAGCATTAGAAATGTTCCTTCCTTCCTTCCTTCTTTCCTCCCTTCCTTGCTTCCTTGCTTCCTTGCTTCCTTGCTTCCTTGCTTCCTTGCTTCCTTCCGTCCTTCCCCATTTATTTTGCTTGTTGGAAGTTCAGAGGGAACAAGTCAATGGGGGAGCCAGCAGGACACTTCAAGTACAAGGCGATTAGGCAGGTAAGTGGCTGCTACTGGGGAGGGGAGGGAGCAAGGGGATGCACATCAGGAATGTTATATGGGGTGCATGAGATTGCCATGTGGGTTGAGGAAGGTCTATAAGTGTGTGGTAGGAATGTCATATGGTTTGAGGAGACCAGGCAGGTGGTTGCAAATCTCAGGAATGGTGCCAAAGAAGGTTTTGTGGTTCAGGTCAGGTATGCAGGGGGACCATGTAGCTCAAGAAGGCTGAGTGTGGGTCACAGGTGTGTGTAAGAGATGCTGCGTCAGTCAAATAGGCTGCTTCCTCATCCTGGCTTCTTTCAGCAGCCCTTCAGAAGCCAGTTCCTAGGCATTCATGGCATTAACAGGAAACTTGCTTCTGCAAATCCCAACTACAAGTGGCAGGAAACAGCCATTAATCATCGATAAGACTAGCTGATCAAGGCACATTTCCAAATGGAGCAGTCCAAAGTCAAGCTAAAGATTTACGATGCCAGGTCAAGGGAGAGATGAGGTTGTTGTTAGTCAACAAGCCGGGGTTGTAAATAACTAGATTCCAAGTGTCGCAATGAAGAAACCCAATTCCACACTTGCTTCTAGCAAGAGGCCAATTGTTCCTGTGGGAACTTAAACATACTCCCTGTTGAGGATTCACAGCTGTGTTCAAACCTTGCTAGTGAATTCAGCANTTGTTAAGTGAGTTTCACCACATTTTACAAGTTGGCCACGCCCACCCAGTCACATGGCTGGTAAACCACTTCCACCTGGTCACATGGCCAGCAAGCCACTCCCAAAAAGCAGGCTATACCTACAGAAGAGGTTCTAAAAAAATTTGAAACCCACCACTGCACCCATCTCACTCTACAAAGTCACTCTTGCAATTAAAATAAAAAATATAACAATATTGGAAAATATTAAATGGAAAAAACAAGCAAAAGAGTAAATTGTAGGCGGTAACATCTTCTCAACCCATCAGCCAATTCCAACACTGAGCTGAAATAAACTATAGCTCAAAGAACGTGGAATTTAAGTACAGAATGGATTAACCCCCAAAGTGGGTTAAGCTGATCTTTATTAGCCTACAATGACAAGAAATCATAAGGATTTTTGCAGCTTTTCTGACCAATGTATTTTATAAAATTCAATAAACCTTTATGAGTTGCAACTTACTGGAGGAATAGAATCATGAAATTCATTCTATCATATGCATAGATGAAATATCACAAGTCACTTGTCGGAAGGAAGTACTAGAAAAGATGAGATATCTATTTCTGAGAAAGTTTTATGGAATATAATCTTTTGATGGGCAAAGAAACATTTATTTCTTTTTAATTGTCATCCCCTTCTGCTTTGCCAAATTAAAACGGGGTGGACTTTCACATTCCTGATTTGGAACAAAAAACGTTGAGGAAAATGTCCTTACATAAAAGACAATCATTTGCAGTTTTGCAGTTTCTGTGCCCACTAGGTAAAATGTTTTCGCATTAGGAGTTTTCTAAATTTGCAAACTGCAATCATACCTCACCCTTCCATGTAAGATTACGTCTTACATGAAGTACTTGTTTTAAAACTGAGCCCTTTATCAATGAATCATCACAGAGGTAAAATATTCAGCAGCACGATTTCCAGACTATATAACTTCTGTAATGTGACTTCTCTCTCATCAAGCACAAAAAGCTGAAAAATAACTAAATCTTACCTCCACATTTTAATAGAACAGTGTTCCTGTTTAATGCCTTCATTGTATAAAAAGTATGTGCTTTCTTTTGTCAAGGTAGTAAATAGCATTTCATTATGACCAAATGCGGCATTTCTCCTAATGAAATGCTATCTATCCTTTTATTTCTTTTTTTGTCTTCAAATGTGGCTGGCTTTTGGTAAAATTTCAAGAACTTTAATTTATTTCAAATTGGAACTACTGAATACAATAGAATTGCTGCTTTTTTTCTAAGTATAAATGAAGTAAGAAGAAAGAAGAGGAGGAGGAGGAGAAAGAGGAGGAGGAGGAGGAGGTGGAGGAGACAATGTGACACTGTAGAAACTTCAAAAATGTCTCTGAAACAGTAGTTCTCGTGAGCCCACCATCTTTCTGCTAATAGATGAAAGTAGTCATCCTTTATGATGCTTCCACATTAGATGGAAAAAAAATATGTCATTGTTTCTCAGGGATTGATTTATTGTCGCCCCTAAAAGTAGCAGCGTCTGTTTTCAGAGGCCCGAAAGTTTAAAAGTAGTTGCTTTAATGAATGAGAGAGACATGCTCAATTTGCATTTGTACAAGCTCCAAATTCAGAACCTTCCACAGGATCTGAAGGTTGCATCAGAATGGCAATATCTAGATGAAAAATCACCATGTATATTTAATCATATGCCTCCTGACAGACATTCATGTCTCCCAAATGTATTCCAAATTATTTCTAAAACATTCGCAGCCTTAATGTGAAATCTTTAACGTAGGGAATAGGAACAGCCACTCTACTGATTATTCGTATTATCCTTGCCAATTACTCTTTATTTGGCTATGCTAGTCAATTGGAAGGTGAAATGTGCCTTGCATTGCATCTGGAGGCAAAGTAGCTAGCCTCATGTATTCTGAATTAATCCAGATTTATTTCAACTGTTTCAAACTGCACCCGAGACCGAATCTAAGGGTCAGTGCACGCTCCTGATCACATAGTTTATTTCAATTTATTTTGGACAGAATCTTTTTTTAAATAGTCTAAGACAATTTAAAAAAAAATTCACACAGAATAAATTGAAGTAAAACATTTCAAACTATTCCACAGAGAATAAATTGAAGTAAAACTATTTTTAACAATTCTATGCACAATACATTTCAAACTATTGTGCATAGAATTTTTAAAAANCTCTATTAATGGAAACATGTGGAGGATTGAATTCTTTCATCCACCTGGATACCTACGGGACCGCCTCCTGCCACACATCTCCCAACGACCTATAACCATAATGCAATGCACACATCATCCTGTGCTCACTGCCCCCCTGCACATATGCATGTGACACCCCTGCTTCCCCCCCACCCATGCGCACATGACTCCCCCCATGCATGTGTGTGCGACACACACACCCCACGCGCGCTCCCCATTTTGGGTCTAGTATGGCTCCCTGCAGTCTCCTGGGAGCAAAAACAAGCCTCAGGGGGACATCTCCTACATGCCCCCCACCCTCTGCCCCTGCGCATGTGCGGCAGAGATCCAAAAATCAGCTGGCCAGCAGGAAGCACACATACATGCCCAGTAGAGCTGAGCTGGAGTGACGGCTTATGTGCCCACAGAGAGGGCTCTGCATGCCACTTGTGGCACATGTGCCATAGGTTCGCCACAACGACCCTAGAGTAGATCTAAAAATTGATGCCTAAAAAATAAGGAAACAGTTAGAACAATTAATCAATGAAGTAGTTTGCCTTCTGAATTTGTGGGTGTTCCATCACTGCAGGTTTTTAAAAAGAGAATAGGCAATGACTGAAATGGTATGGGATCTCCTTCTTGAGCAGGCAGTTGGACTAGAAGACCTCTAATGCCCCTCCCAATGCTGATATTTTGTTCTGTTATCCTAAAGTATACCAAAGTGGATCCATCACATCTGCGTAAGGAGAAGACTAATTGGTCAAGTAATAGGAGGAGAAAGGGTGAAAGAACATGGGAAGCAATCATACTGTCACTATTGACCAGACACATGACCATGGAGATGAGCGCGGGCTCTTTGGCTTAGAAACAGAGATGAGCACCGCCCCCTAGATTTGGGAATTGCTAACACGCATGTGCGAGGGGAACCCTTACCTTTATCTTTACCTTAAGAACGCATTCTGGAGAAGATACTCATGGATATTTTTGTGATATCCTGTAGCAATGGAGAACAGAGTGGCAATGCAAAATTCTAGAGGAAAGAAATTGATAAGCTGTGGGATATTGAGGCCATATTCTCTGTTGTTAGTAAAAAAAAACATGATAAAAGAAACCTTGGGGCACTTAGCAAATTACTTTATTATTGTTTAATTGGCAGTATAAAAGTAAGTTCCTGAAACCTTCTTTCAAAGAGGAGAAAGTTGTTGGACATAACAAAAAATCTAAAAACTTTTTATGATGGATTCTTGTTCATTTACTGTCTAGTTGTTCCATATTTAAATTATTATTTCTTAAATTAATGTAACTCGTAAAGGCATGTTCTAACAGCTCTCAATTTAGGACACCAGAGTGCAATCAAAGATAGACTTTTCTAAGT